TATACACATTTTGAACATATACAAAAAACTCCAAGACATGTTGCCGCAGCCGTCGGAATAGGTATTACTACGACGTACATATCTATAATCAGATTATTCATTAAAATATGTAAAATTCAAAACTGAAATATTTGTTTGCAGTGTTTTCATTTCATTACGATATTCTCAAATTTAATGTCATTTAGTACAATTAATTTATCATGAGATATAGGTTTATACAATAATACGACTAGACAATACAATTATTTATGATAATATGTTTATCATATTAATTACAATCTGCTATCTAAAAATTCAAAACCGCAGGTCTTAAAAGGGACATTTTTCAAGGATTGCAATCTATTTCATTATTTTATCACTCAGATTGAAATTTTGTTGCTGCACGCAACGTTAAAGCGCTTAACATAATTATACAGTACATTGAAAACAGAATTTCTTTATTGACATTCAAGTCAAAATACCGTAATTAAGAAAAGCTTGGATAATCTTTTTTTCGTTGACAGTTAAAATTTTCTTCTTCTCAACAAAATGCAAAGTCGGAAATATTACCATGTTTATATAGATTGTAATGGCACATTTCTATGCATCAGTTTTGATATTGATAAAGAGCCAACAAACTACATTTCATACTGTTCGACGTTGACACCTGGTTTCGTGGATATCCTGTTAAATGTGATTCAGAGTTGATTCATAGGAATAGGAATATGAATTATGACAAATTCAGCGAAAATGAAAATGTAGACTTTTAGAATTAATACTCGTATATCAGTGAATTGTATCTGGAGTATGGTAATGTTAGAAGAACTGCAAACAACATATTTCAATATTAGAATGGTAGTTACGGATTACATATCACAATCAGTAATGAAATAGCAATTTTCTTGTTTTCATATAAAAATAGCAAATTGATATTCCAACATATGTTGTAATAAAAACGAAATATACATTTCAATTAAAGTAATATATATTATTTAACAATAGATATCACACTTTGAAAAAATTAATCCATCAGTTTCCGGCGAAATCAATCACAAAGCATAGACTTATAACTCAAATGACAATGTGTCATTCCATGTGAAGACAACAGATAAAAGATCAAATACAGTCCCAAAACAGCTTTATCGCGTACACTAATGCCTGTGTAACTATCAATTAACAACAAATATGGCGAGACATAAGCAAAGTGAATTAAAAAATAACACTTCGAATCTGTTTTTACAGGTGTTTTCCATTTTTAGGAAATTCTGCCAAACCATTTGAAAAGCATTTTGGAAACATTAAAACGAAAGATTGTATTTAATTTTAAGCCCTTAAGTTTTGATATTTTCTTATTTGATAATTAATATTGTCAATAGTTCCAAACACACCAACAAAACTAAGATGTTATAGATTATTTTACAGTATTTAAAACCCTTCTTCAACATTAGATATTATTAACAAAATTTATTTGCCAATTTGGTTCACTTAAGCATTTCCCAAAAATTGAATGCCCTTAACAACCTTTTACAAACATCATTTTCACGATTTACTCAACTTATCAATAAATGATAAGCCAACCAACCATAAAAAACATGATAAAATCTATATACAAAACGATAACGGGAGGAAAGAAGGCACGCGATACATTTTTAACTCATGACAAACGGATACTGTAAAATCATTCATTTGCGGTTGTATTTTCCATGACTTCGTGGGATATTTTCATGAACGAATAAACATGTCCATGAACTGTTGAAATTCGTACAGGTGAACTTATTGGGCAATATTAATCCACAAATCCACAAAATCAAATGTACATTTAAAAAATCCCATAGAAATTGAAACACACGAAAATATATGATTTTACATAACTCCATGTCAATAACCATATGATACCAGACAAAGATATATTATGTCCAGTTTATAGAATTAATATAATCCAGTTACATGTATATATCAGCACATCCAATCAACGACGAAAGGAATATTTTTTCTTACCAATGGGTTTCGGTAGAAGGTGATTTCAGAATATATACGATCTTAGTCCGAAAGGGTGACCATTTTTTGATGATATGAATATAAGATCTAGTTAAAAAACATTTGTCTTTCCCTTTTTTCGTTTATAGATGGCCTGCTATCGTAAATAAGATATTGTCTGGATATTAACACAAGGATTTAAGGAAGAATTATTGAACGCAACGATCAACGATATAGAAATATATCAAGTATTCGAATTTAGTATAGTTTAACAGTCTAAGATTTGTGTAATTCTGAGAGTCATTCATGTCGTGTTCCCATGACAATCAGCATAATTTATTATATAATTAAATACAAAATGGTTATAAAAAGTCCGATATTTGTTTTTAACTTTTTAAAGTCAATCTCAATATGATAGTTAACGAATGTTATTAGGAACATGTACTTATTTACTTCCGGATAGTGAGTATCTATCAAGTACGTAATTTCTTTCTTCCAAAGAGTGACTAACTACCTAGCATTTAATTACTTACTCCAAAACCTCTAACAACGTTTTCGCTTTAATTTCTTGCAGCGTCCTAACCCTGGTGTTCAATACTTCGCAAATATATATCCATTTAAATTAATATAGTACAAGCTGAAGTGAAACTCAATAGAAACTGAGTCATTTTTTTCAAAAAATGGCATCTGTTGTGTACGAAATATTATACCGCTTTATCAATTTGTTGTTTTAGAGAATTAGATGTCAGCTTTAATCGTATTATTCAGAATTCACTAAATTTGATTTCTTCATATACAAAATTTGAAGTCATAAAGTAAAGACATATAATCTACCTGCCGCAAAACAACGGAATAAAAGCTAATATTGCTAGAATGTTTGAAAATGGATATGTCGACATAATTTTGCAACACATATTGTCATACGATGGTAAAAAATAAAACAATAAAGACAATGAGGACTATATAATGGCGATAGCACATTCATAAAAGGTCCGAATAATCCTATATCAAAACATTTACAAAGCTGAACCAACATTCTCACTTGTAAACAAACCAAAACACTTACAAAACAGGACCGATATTCGTACCTGTAAACAAAACCAAAACATTTACAAAGCTGAACCAACATTCTCACTTGTAAACAAACCAAAAAACTTACAAAACAGGACCGATATTCTTACCTGTAAACAAAACCAAAACATTTACAAAGCTGAACTTACATTTTTACATGTAAACAAACCAAAACATTTACAAAGCTGAACCAACATTCTTACCTGTAAACAAACCAAAAACATTTGCAAAACAGGACCAACGTTTTAACCAGAAGACAAAACAAAAACATTTACAAAACAAGACCAACATTCTTATATGTAGACAAAACCAAAACATTTACAAAACAGGACCAACATTCTTGTCTGTTAACAAAAACCAAAACATTTACAAAACAGGACCAACATTCTTGTCTGTAGACAAAACCAAAACATTTACAAAACAGGACCAACATTCTTATCTGTTAACAAAAACCAAAACATTTACAAAACAGGACAAAACATTTACAAAACAGGACCAACATTCTTGTCTGTAGACAAAACCAAAACATTTACAAAACAGGACCAACATTCTTATCTGTTAACAAAAACCAAAACATTTACAAAACAGGACCAACATTCTTGTCTGTAGACAAAACCAAAACATTTACAAAACAGGACCAACATTCTTGTCTGTAGACAAAACCAAAACATTTACAAAACAGGACCAACATTCTTATCTGTTAACAAAAACCAAGACATTTACAAAACAGGACCAACATTCTTGTCTGTTAACAAAAACCAAGACATTTACAAAACAGGACCAACATTCTTGTCTGTTAACAAAAACCAAGACATTTACAAAACAGGACCAACATTCTTGTCTGTAGACAAAACCAAAACATTTACAAAACAGGACCAACATTCTTATCTGTAGACAAAACCAAAACATTTACAAAACAGGACCAACATTCTTGTCTGTAGACAAAACCAAAACATTTACAAAACAGGACCAACATTCTTGTCTGTAGACAAAACCAAAACATTTACAAAACAGGACCAACATTCTTGTCTGTAGACAAAACCAAAACATTTACAAAACAGGACCAACATTCTTGTCTGTAGACAAAACCAAAACCTTCCCATCATGACTTTTCTTTTTATACTACGACAACATGTTAATTCAATGACAATATAAATAAAAATATGAATGATGAACAATATTGAAGTTAAAAAAACAATAGAAAGTCACAACGATTTGATTTTTAATATGTTTGTATGGAGAATGTATAAAATATAAACATGAAAAAAACATGATATAATATTAAAGAAAAAAAATTTAAAAATCTTTCTGATAAGTGCCGGACCAGCCGGTCTGTATCAACTTACCGAATAGCACCTATTGATTGCCTCACAAGCTTACACACTCGAATGCCAGCGGTAACCTGAATAATTTCCGCCAGTCTGTCTAATTACAAATTTAATCTTGATTATACATCAGGATGATCTGCATAATCACGTGATGGAACAAATCGTTCTTGAATAACAAAACTATAAATAAATCATTATGTTGACTACACAATTGTATAACATGATCTTTAAAAATTTCGTCAAATATCAAAATTCTACTTCTAGTTCCGCTTGTTCTTAAATCTCTTCAAATATATCACTGAAAAAAATACTTCGTTGGGAAATGATGATCTTCATATACATCTATTGAAAATACGTTTCATTACTTGATAAAATGAAACTAATCATTTTCAATTACACTTCATTTCAATGAAAATACTTTTGCCAATATGATGAGTTCTTAAAATTGAAAGAATAAAATCCAAATATTTCCAGTCAATTGATACTTTAAAATGTTATGTTCAAGAGTTCTTCAGCTGTTTGTTTTCCGCAAAACGCTTGACATACTGTACCATCTATGGCTAAATGGCTTGGAAGTAGTAAATCGTTCAGAAGAAATATCCATGGAGGCAGACATTGATTATATTAACTGAGGAAATATCGCAATCATCTCGAGACTGCTGGAAACGGAGTTAAGTTTTCCTCGTGAGGCGTTTCAGCAGGACGTACTTCGGCCGTCCGGATTTCCATTGTTCGAATGTCTGTTCTTGTAGGCATGAAGCCATACACTCCAAGTTCAATCCTATCTCGACATCGCGAGGACTTAGGTCCCGTCAAGCCCATTAACAAGTTGTCGTTATCCTTTTCACGTCGCTTTCGACACATCATGGCTTTAATTTCCCGTCTGAAGTTTGAGTTGAACCAACCATAGATTATAGGATTGATACATACCGAGCTCATAGCTAGTAAATGACAGATAGCTTTTAACCAGTTAAAATTAATCCCAGTAAAGAGTTGGTAGTTGAGATCTGCCAAGAGATTTGTGAGTGTAAGCGGAAGCCATGTGATAGCAAAAGATACTGCAATGGATGTCAAAAGGATTATATTTTTCCTCTGTCGTAATAGATTGCGTCTACTTCGGTGAAGTTCTCGAGAATATGATGGTTTCGATTCTATATGAGTTCGTATAAATTTACAAATGAGGATATGCAAAGAGACAATGACGATCATTGGAAATATAAAGTGTATTCCTAAAACGACAGAGGCATAACTTTTTCTGGCGATGTCCGAGTCCCAGTTCTCTAAGCAAGATGAGAACAAAAATATTCCTTTAGTAATATATACATCTTCGACCTCATGAAAAATGAACATCGGAAGTGCCAAAGCGAATGAAACCATCCACACCATCGGGAATATATACATTAGGCGTGTTCGATCACGACTGGCATTTGCGCACTGCACTATGGCTCTATATCTGTCCACTGCTATCAGTACTATAGTGAAGGTGGATACGAAGACGTAAATCGTCTGTAAACTAGGCACAACTTTACACACGATTTCACCAAGTGGCCAGTGCTTCATAATCAGCCGTACCACAGTGAAGGGAATACATAGCACGGACGTGAGAATGTCCGAAAGAGATAGATTCATAATGTACCAATTTCGACACGATTTGAGATTTTTCTTTTTGATAATGATATAGCACATTGCAGCATTTCCGAAAGTCCCAAACAAAGTGATAAGACAGAATCCGAGAACGAGAATACAGACACTCGCGGATCCGAACCAGTTGTTCGAGAACTCTATTTGAGATCGAATTCGCCAAAAGTCTGAGACGGAAAAATTGGAAGCGTAAAGCATTTCGTCATCAGGAAGTGGCAACCTATCCAACGCATGCGCAGTCGAACGGCTGTGGGTCATGTTCGTATGGAATGGAATTCCTGAAACGAGAAAAAAAATAGAATTATATCATTGCACTCGTTTTTCACAGGTTAATCTATTCCATGCAATAAGCAAAGAGTGTAAAAAAAAATCAAGTGCTTAATAGTAATGAATATTAAAAACAACCAAATTTGAAATTAAAGCGTTCCTACTACACAAAAATATAAAAGAAAATAAATATAATTGTAAGCATGCTTATGATTGCATCATAGATTCATGGTGGGTTCACATACAATGGTTTCTGATTCACATCACTAAAACGATATAGATATGCTAACTGAAGTGTATTAAGTCTTTTTACTGCGTGTTTTACATATGGTTCAAGCATCTGTATGTAACGATTATAAACTATATTTGTTCCAGGTAACTTTTCGGCGTCAGGCGAACAGACAGTGTATGAAGGATTTCAAAACTAAATTTGTACTAGGAACTGGTTTTTTTTAGTAACAGGCCAACAAAAAGGCATATAGAATTTTAAAATGTGCTTGTTCTACTTAATAAATTACACCAGGAAAAGACTTGAGATAGATGACAATGAAGTTCAGTTGATTATAATGTATAGGGTTGTCAGACTTGGCGATAAAGTCTTGAAAGCTGAAATTGAATACGTTAAGCATTTTTGCAAATTGAAAATTTGTGGATTGTGATAAACCCACACTTTTCATTTGCATTAATATTGATTGATTTGTATTGTATACTCATTTCACATTCAATGTGTTGTAAAAAGTTTCAAATATCACGCTAGGGTTTAGATCTAAGGTAATATTTTTGAAAAAAAAAAATATATATAAGATTAACAAACGCATATTTTCTCAGGAACCTGAGATTTTGACAAAATATAGTATACTCTCGTGTCAGTATAATTGGATACGTTTATTAAAATTTAATCTGATAGGCTTATCGTCATATGAAAAATTTATTAATTTAGGTTTAAACTCAATATGACAATCATCCCATGTGCACTCTTCTCCGTGTTATGTCCATTATCAAATAATCATGACGTTAAAGCTAGCATTGGTTTCCCAGGTCGTGGAGACATGTTACAGCAAGCGTGAATGTCTGTCTCAGCTGACATAGATTGGTAGACTTAGCCACGCTAGTCGCACGATTAATGTCATTTAAAAAGAATATTAAGCAAAATCTGCCTGATTTCATTCACTAAAATCGTTCATGGCAATGAAGGAGCATCAGAAGGACCACGGAACGTGTCCCTAATTAGTGTTTTGTACGCCCACAAGTAAAGTTATCAACTTATCAACTAAAATATCAACTGTCTTTAGCAGTCTTAATTTATCACATCCACACTAATCATTCTTCAAACAGGCTGTTTTTAGCGTTTTGTCCACAATATGTGATACCATTTTGTATTTTACACCAATTTTATTCCCGTCAGCATCAGAACGCAAGGTATCCATAACATTAAAGAAACGTAACAGTCGGGTATATTTCCGTCTCATTCTGAGGTTAACTACCACCATTCCTAGTCGTCTGCATTGTCTTGTGGTCGTCTGTGTGTAATCTGGACCTCAAGACATCACGTGGTAGTTGTTCGTACGATCGAGAGCACGTGATGGTGTTCTCGAATGCCCGCCTTCAGTTACCAATAAGACAAGCGTAAATATGTGTTCAAGTGCAAGAAGAGTATAAAGCATTTCTGTATAACTTGATTTATTGGCAGTGCTGGTATTCACGTATAAGGTAACATCTCCCTCATGGCGAACTGTTGATCGATGCTTGGCTAGTACAATTAATCAAACGGGAAAGTGTTATTTAATTACTTCACTTTCATTTTTTCCCCATTGTTAATCCACCGATTTATTTAGCGACGTTTACCTTATTTTTCTTAAGTAGTGCTGAGATTGCAGATTGATGACTTTTTTTCAAGGGCAAGAGAACTATGACCTAAAGGCGTTTATAGACGAAGGAACCCAGACCGATCGATACTACCGCAAGTAATTTCTTTCAATATATTTTTCTGCTTCTATACACGCTTAAAGGAAAATGGCAAATGGTCTTAAAAATTTTGAAAGATTGTTGTTTTTTTGTTTGTTTCTTTTTGTTTTTTTCAAATTGACTTTGAAAAAAGGACAGATTAAATTTTGTGGCGTGTTACAAACTAATTCAGTCGTATGTACTCGATTTATGGACCGGAATAGATCATATTTTAATATTTATCTAATTTGATAGCATTATTTTCGATATAAAAAACAAGGAAAGGAAACTCAAAATCGTTGAAACTAGGGCATACCAGGATAAAAAAAAAAAAAAGAAAAGATTTAATTGCAGACTCCCGAAATAGCAACATTCAGGCTACGTCCCCAACCTATGGAGTGTACTTATTGATTCTATATTCCCATTATCATGATTTTCGTGCAAGAAGTTGTCAACACATGCACTAACTCGTAAAGTAGGGTTTCAAAAGATGTATGTTAAAGAAAATGATTGGGAAGATTTACGTGATCTCATTGAGAAATGCGCTATTTCTCTGCAAGACATAATTGATGCTTATTAATTTGCCTGTTAGGTGTCGTCGATGAAGCAAAACTTTCTTTTGTATATGTTTTGCTCTAGGTTTGCTGAATTTAGATAAGATATAGATTTAGTACAGATTATGATTGTGTTGACATGTTGGTATTTTCTAGTTGTTTTTATAGTACAAACGAAAATAAGACCATGTGGTAACATGGTTCAACATATGTATTTATTTAGTGCTCTCTTAAAACACGAAAAACAAATGTAACCAAATGATCATTTGGTTCATGTGATCAAGCCTATGCCATATCAAAAGAGATTTCCTCTTATTTCCCTAACAACCAAGGTTTTTCACTCATCATATATTCTGTCGACATTGCCTTACAGGTCAGATGCACTTTCGGTTTATTCTCGTTGTATCATCTACAATGTATGTGTAAACCAAACAACATGCACAACTGAAGATAAAATACTGTAGAATAATATCTTTCTCCGAAGGTTGCAGTTTTCGGGGTTGTTAACAATCACTATTTCGTTGATATGTACATAGTTCCAAAGATCTACTCATATTTAATCTGAACGGTTTGTGGACTTGCGTAGGAAAAATATCGACGAAGAACATTAATGATATCATAGTAACAAGGTTAAAACAATACAATAATTAATTATCAATTGAACTCGATGATCACAAATGACAAGTGAATCGTTAATTGAATGAAAATAATACTAGTTTCTAAATAAAGCGAAATATACGGGCATGTACCAGAGTACAAAACGACAAGGAAAAGGTCGATATGTCAACATAATCTTAATTCAAGTATAACAAAATATGAACATAAGAAAGATTTACACGGAAACTCATGGAAAAGTACAAAGAAAATAAGACCAGATGTTCCAGAGAAGTAAGCATATTCCGCTTCATCGTCGAAAGACTTAAAAAATCGAATTACAACGATAATAAAGGCATTCGAGTTAATCAGGTTACTGTGACATCACAGAAAAAGTATAGTGGCATAAAACTAAATTTACAAAATGGTATGATACGATAATGATGCAGGCACTCAGTGACTATACCGTCACACATATTTTGATAATTATGAAAATAATGCTAACATTAAGATTAGGTAATGCGGCATAATTTTCGTAATATTTGATAATTTCATTACCTTATTAACAATTCTTACAAACATACTTTGGTAAATATGGCAACACAAACATCTGAGTGATTCAAGCATTTTCAAATACTTCAGTACATACTGCAGTACAAACATTTAAGTAACTATGATAACACAAGCAAATGCAGCAACACCAACATCTAACTAAGTTTAAAAAAGGAGAAATTGGGTATTTATAGTAAAACTGTTGTCTGACAACACTGACAATATAAATACGGTAGCACGAATCAATAACATAGCTCTATTACGGTATCAATAATATAACTGGCCCCACTTGTATAAAACATCTCAATTTAAGATTTCCTCAAGCCCAGATTTTCCTCAGCTAATATCTCCTTGAAAATATCTTGTATGAAAATTCCTCAAGGAATTTCAGGACATCCTAGCCGATGACTTCCTCCTGTTCCTTAAGAAAATTTTATACAAGCCGTTTTCGAGGAGATATCAGCTGAGGAAAATCTCGACTTGAGGAAATCTCAAGTTGAGATGTTTTATACAAGTGGGGCCTGATGAAATTAGAATAATCTGTAATTCAATAATTACCTCAACCTTTAAGGAAGTACAATCGATTTCAAAGAACGAAACCTTATTTACTACAAATTCAGATAAGGTAGTGCTGCCAAACTATAAACTTGCATAACACGGCGTTCCTTTTTCTAGGACTCGTCAGTAATCAATGCACAGGTTGGTCGCAACACAAGTCAAACTATTTGAAGATAGGCACTCTCTTTGTAATCCATTAAATTGCATATAATGTATTATTTTTTTTCATATTTTCGTGGTTATACTAAAAAATCTGAAGCATAAAAGTGGTGTTTTTTATGGAAGCCATGTAACGGACTGCCGTTTTCTACCTTTTTCACGAATTCCTTTTATCCTTGAAGAAATACTTAAGTAAAAAAGGATTTAAAGAATCAGGATCCAAAGCTATCCTCCATTACCAGAACAAAACTAGTAAAACTAGTGATATGTGGAAGACCATCAATTCAAATAAATGTGCACTATCATAACTGCCAGTTGAAGCTTGATAAAAATAAAGTAGTCTTGATTGGATAATTCTGGCACAACAAAGATGTGTTAGAGGCCAGAAAAAAAAATCTGTCTGGAATTGTCAGTTAATTAGCGTAAATTCACAGGCACGCCGAGGAGGGCCTTTGTCATCACGGCAGTACCCCGTAAGGTGAGAAAACAAAGTCTTGTATTTCTGTGAACAATATGGATTCATACAGAAGTGTAGGATTAGTCTGTTGCCGCACACAACTGGTCAGCAGGGACGATATATTACTGATATTGAATTTGGCCAGATAGAGCTCGGTGATCGTTAGTCTTAAA